AGATTGTAAATCAGTAATGAAAGTCCAGGGTAATGGGGAAAAGATACGAAAGTGGGATTGAGGGTTATCAGATCAGCTATGACCACATTGAATGGCAGAGCATACTCGATGGGCTGAATGGTCTACTTCTGCTTCCACATTTAATGATCTTATGGACATTGAGAAGAGAGGAGCTGCAAAGACAAGTGTTGTACCTCTGATCTTTGCCCAGAAAGATGCCGTAGGAAATGGAGGGCATGTTAGGGATGACTGAGGGCATCTGAGAGAAACAGCCCCAGAATACTGAAGATGCTGTTGGGGCTGGGGTGGCGGTGTGGGGGGGTGCAGGGGTGGATGAGGCACAGGGGAAGATGTGTTTGGCCACCCTCAAAGAGTGGGATCATGTAGATAACAGAAATGGTGGACGATGATGTATTGAATATGGAGGCTGATGGGATGGAGTGTGAGGATAAGGGGCACTCTATCATGTTTCTGACGGAGTGAAGGATTTGATGAGAGCAGAGAAATGTGAATTAGTTTGGCCTTGGATAATCATGTTAACTGTACTGGGTGGGAATCCCTGACAGAAAGAAAAGGAAGCATTGGTGTAGAAAGTAGCATCAATGAAACAGATGCAGCAGGGGCAGAGAAACTGAGAGAATGGAATGGAGATAATAAGGTGTAGAGCTGGATAAACACAGCAGGCCAAGCAGCATCAGAGGAGCAGGAAGGCTGACATTTCGGGCCTAGACCCTTTTTCAGAAAGGTCCCTTTTTATCTCAGATTCTCCAGCATCTGCAGTTCCTACTATCTCAGAATGGAATGGAGTTGCTTGGTGTAAGGAAATGTAGTTAAAATAGTGGTAGGAAATGAGTCAGAGCACTTGAAGGTGAAGACAGGGTGAAAATTGGAAACAAAGTAAATGAAACCTTCCAGTTCATGTCAAAAGCTGGAGGTGCCATTTTAATTACAGAAATTGCTGGATAAGCTCAGCAGATCCTGTGAAGAGAAATCAGAGTTAATGTTTCGGGTCAAATGACCCTTCTTCAGAACTAGCCATTTTTATTCTCTACTTTTCATAGAACCCCTACAGTGTGGAAACAGGCCCTTCAGCCCATCAAGTCCACACTGACCCTCAGAGCATCCCACCCAGACCCATCCACCTCTAACCCACACATGCCTGAACACTATGGACAATTTAGCATGGCCACCCCACCTAGTCTGTACATCTTTGGACTGTGGGAGGAAACCGGTGCACCCGGAGGAAACCCACGCAGACACAGGGAGAATGTGCAAACTCCACACAGACAATCGTTCGAGGGCGGAATTGAACCTGGGTCCCTGCCACTGTGAGGCAGCAGCGCTAACCATTGAGCAACCATTTCTCCCATCCTGGCAAATCTGTCCACAGCCTGCTGACTGTTCCAGGGAAGCTCAACACCAGCTCAAGGAACAACATCCTATGTTTCACTCAGCATGTCAATACACTTTTGGACACTATATTGATCTCAATAAATTTAGGTAATGGTTTTTCCTATGACCAGTCCTTGGGCGAGATTGCAGAGTTTATTACAGTTCTAGATGGGAGACCCCAGGTTGTCAAGCCTGAAGTATAATGGACTGGCTTCTCATCTGTATTCACCCTCCCCGTTAGTTGGTTAATTTAAAAATAAGATCCTTTGTGGATGCCTTTCTCTCCCGGACTAAAAACATTTATGTTTTTTAAAGGAGACAATGTAACCAATACCTCTTGAATTATCAAAAGAGTGAGCTTATTAGTTAAACACAAGATAAGTAAATGCAACAAAGATCAACACAGATTAGAAATTGGAAATGAGTTAAAAAGAATGATAAAAGTTAAAAACAATACCGAGTTCAGTCTCTGGGTTCCTGTCCATTGGTGTTGGGAGGCATGCAGTTGACTTCGACCTGCTTGGCTTTATAGGTCAGCTTTAATGCTTTTATCCTATTTTGTTTTAACTGTGGTTTCATTTGTGATCTAGCTTCTAATAAAGAGAAAGGCTTCCTCTCTTTTAACCTGGGGTTTTCACAGTTACGACCTTCACAATGGATACTTTCACACTCTAGCACACACAGACCAGGTTCAAAATCACTTTTTAGCCTATATTCTTGTGTATTTTTGAAAGAGGAACAAAACAAACACATTTCTCAGCCAGACTGTTCTCTTTTCTCCCAACATGTTCACAGCCTGAGACAGCTCACAGGGGATCACAGTCTGGTCTGCTTTACATTTCTCATTTTGATGTCCTTCCTTCGAAACTTTCATGATACCCATCAGGTAGGACATTCCAGGGTCTCCCTCAAAGCTGAGGATCATCAACACAGGCCTTGCAGACAGTCATGAAATTCCATTGCTCAGAATTTACATTCTCATTCCTTTTTGATGAACATGCACTTTTTGAAAACAAAGCACACATGTTGTAATTAAAAGATGAATACTTCCAGTGGTGATCCAGGATTAGGATCCAATATGATAACATTCCTGTCTCCACTGCATTCTATCAGATTTAATTCTTCCCCTATAAAGGGCTTTAGTGAAAAGGGGGCCGTGTGCAGGATGGCTGGTTTGCAATGCAGAGTGATGCCAACTGGGTGGTTTCAATATCCACACCAGCTGAAGGACTCTTCTTCTCAATCGCTCCCTCACCTGAGGTGTGGTGACCCTCAGGTTAAACCACCATGACTTATCTGTCTCTCTCAAATGAGACAGGAGCTGTATGGTCTGGTAGGACTGTAACACCTTTTACCTTTTAGAAATGTCAGTGACTACCCAAGACACATAGTTGGATAATCCAATTACAATCAGTGTACCCCTTCCCAAGGTCACTTCCAGGAACATTTCTCAGGGGTGAGGTGGCACCAGCAAAAGCTGACATGCCTGTCGATGGCATCAAAGTACACTTGCCTCTGCGCTAACCTCTATTGAGGCCTAAAACTCTAACCCTAAAAGTTTAGAATACATCGAGTGGAGGTGAGGAAGCCCTTTGGAAAAATAAGACTTTTTTGAGATAACAACTGCTCACAGGAGTTGACAGATCAAAAAGGCAAACATGAGTGTGCCCTTTACATAATCCAGATTAATTTTTCAAAGAATGTAAGAGCAGACTGAAGACCCACAAGGAAAAAAGGCAAACTAACATGATTAACAACAGCTTCTATTATTAGACACACACAATACACCTTCCATGCAGCATTCCAGTGACATTATTGTGAACTATTCATTCAATAGCCTTCAAAGGCACATTATGCAAATGCCATCCAACAGTTCAATATTGAAAATCCTTGTCTTCACTGTTTAAGCAGAGAAGTTAGCTGTTTATTTTAATTTGATTCATACCTCTATTAAAATACCAGTCAAAAGAATCAAAACAAACTCTGCAATTTTTACACCAGGAGCATGTCGCCTGTTGTTTCTGAAATAACCAAGTTGACAATGAAAGGAGTACACCAGAGTCCACATCTAAACCGGGAGTTCTTCACATACTGAGTGCATATGTGTCTACATACAGGAGCACTGTGTAGGACTCTGTAGTAGTGCCCCTACCTCTGGATCAGGAAGACCCAGGTTCAGGTCCCATCTGCTCCAGAGGTGTGTCAAAACATTGCCGAATGCGTTGACTTGAAAATATCTATAGTATCGTCTTTGTCTACATGTGGTGTGACCGGCAGCTGTGCTCAATGCTGCCTTCAGAAAATGGTAATATTTAAACCAAGGCCAAAGTGAATGTGGCATCAGTGAGTCCACCTTCCCGTCACTCTGTCTCCCTAGCACTGCCTTTGATTGGGACTCCTCCCCCATCCACATCCCCTGCTACTATCCCCCAAGACCTGGCAGCAAGAAGGGTGGTTGAGATGTATCTACACAAGCATTCCCACCCCTTCCACAAACATCTCCAACTTCAACAGCCAGTCACCTTTTTCTTCAATTTCAAGAGTATTTTATATATATATGATATACGCACACATACATAGTCACAAATACAGTTTGATTCTGTACAGTAGCATATAAAGAAACAAACAAACATCAGAGTTTGACTCTATCCAATAAACAAACCAAAGGCATCTCTGACTTGTGCAAGACTATATTTACGTATATTTGAGGTATCGTGAGGGGATGATAACTGAACAGACCCCTGTTTAACTTCAGCTGGAAGACCTCAGACGTGGTCTTTCCCCACTTGGCGACAGCTGTCCCAAGCTTTGATGCGTCACTCAGCACGCAGTATTGGGCCTTGGAACGTGCTGGTCTGCAACACTCGGTCAGGGTCAACTCCTTGCTCTCAAAGACCAACAAGTCTTGGCCAGACCAAAGAGTGTCTTTCACCAGGTTAATGGTCCTCCAGTCATAGTCAATTGTTTGTGTCTCAGGCTCTGAACAGGCAATTGTGACTCAGTTCCACCCCTCGTGAACAGTATAAGGAGCTCCAATGTATCTCACGCAATGAGGGTGGGGGCGTGGAATGCATTGCCGGAGAGGGTAGTGGAGTCGGCCTCATTAGGGGCATTTAAGCAGCTATTAGATAAGCATATAGATGGTAGTGTAAGGTAGGGGTGGAGGTTAGATAGACCTTAGGGTAAAAGTTCGGCACAACATCGTGGGCCAAAGGGCCTGTGCTGTACTGTACTGTTCTGTGTTCTATGTTCTGTGTTCTATTGCAGTGAATTTGGAAAAGTAATCCCAGGAGTTAGGACTTCCAACTATGAGCTTCTCCAGAACTGGGGCAGCACAGTGGCTCAGTGGTTAGCACTGCTGCCTCACAGCACCAGAAACCCAGGTTCAATTCCAGCCTCGGCCGACTGTCTGTGTGAAGTTTGCACATTCTCCCCGTGTCTGCGTGGGTTTCCTCCAGGTGCTCCAGTTTCCTCCCACAGTCCAAAGATGTACAGGTTAGGTGGATTGGCCATGCTAAATTGCCAGTAGTATTCAGGGATGTGTAGATTAGGTGGGTTATAGCAGGGTGGATCTTGGTAGGATGCTCTGAGAGTCAGTGTGGACTTGTTGGGCCAAAGGGCCTGTTTCCACACTGTAGGGATTCTATGAATTTGTTTTCATTAGAGAGAAAGTTGGTAGGAGATGCAATCCTGGTCTTATAAAACCTGAAAGGAATAAATGATGTAGATTCAACCAGACTCCTTAATTTGGAATGTGAGCAGAAACAAAGGGCCTAAAAAAAAAGGCTGTGCTGCCACTAAGGGACATGTACATTATCTGCAATATCTCTTCTAAATATAGTTGCAAATATTTATAAATATCAATTAAAACTAATGCTTTAATGGAACAGTATACCAATGTATTCCTCACTCTGTTCTATTACCATTATGCACTTTGTATGCTATGATCTGCCTGTACTGTATGCAAAATAAAACTTTTTGCTCACCTAGGTACATATGACAATACTAAATCAAATCAAATCATATTGGTTCATAGACATAGTTTGTAAAACAAAGAAGAGCTTTTATTTTAAATTACAAAAGTCAGCTTAAAATTGTGTGCATGCACAGTCAGAAATAATCAGCAGTGTTTTAGTTAAAAGTGAATTAAGGAGATTATTTTAATAAGCCAGCATATTGTGATAATATTATTTTATGGTAGTCACATAAATAATGTATAAGACAAAGTAAAGCTTTCTCTTTTCATTCTCAATAATTGACTGTAATTGTGTGTATGCTCACAGTGCATTGGCGTTGGCAAACAGAGCCAAGAAAAACTGAACAAGCTCACATAAGAATAGAGATTATAAGATTTTCTTTCAATACCAACATTTGATATTTGAAGTCCTGACTCAAACCAGAAATGCTGCTTTCATTTAGTAAAAAGTTTCAGATATCTACATCAGAAGAGTTTTGAGACTGAGGATAGTTAAAAGCACAGAATCCTAGTTTGAACATTCAATTCCCAGAGGCCATAGAACTGTGAGAATATGTTCGACCCATAAAGGACTATCTTTGCATCATTTAAGAGAAGTTGACTCATGTGATGCAGAGATTATACTGTACATAGACCAGTTAAATTGTATTGAACCATTCTCTTTTTTACGTATTTGTGGGATTGTGGGCATTACTGGCCAGGCCTGCATTTGTTGTCCATCCCAGAGTCAACTTCATTGCTGTGAGTCTGGAGTCACATATAGGCCAGACCAGGCAAAGATGGCAGTTTCCCTCCCTAAACTGTATTCATGATCCAGATGGGTTTTCCCCAATAATTGGCCACAGTTTCACAGCCATCATTAGATTCTTAATTCCAAATTTTTCTTCAACTTTTTCATGCAGAGGGTGGTGTGTGTATGGAATGAGCTGTCAGAGGAAGTGGTGGAGGCTGGTACAGTTACAACATTTAAAAGCATCTGGATGGTACATGAATAGGAAGGGTTTAGAGGGATGTGGGCCAAATGCTGGCAAATGGGACTGGGTTAATTTGGGATATCAAGGCAGTATGGATGAGTTAGACCGAACAGTCTGTTTCCATGCTGTACAAATGAATTAAAATTCCACAGCCTACCATAGTAGGGTTTGAATCCTAGTCCCCAAAACATTAGCTGGATCTCTGGATTATTGTCTACCTATAATACCACTAGGCCATTGTCTCTCCTTATCAATGAGCTCAGAGTTTTGCAGGACATTAAGTGAGTTGCCTGGAATCTATGATTGAGCATCCCATATACAATCTATAACTAGCTTCTTCCCCCTGCTTCTCTCCAACTATGATAAAAATTTCTTTGAAAGTTCCAAGCTCCACAAAACCAAAATCTTTGGCACATCTCAACCGCTTCAAATATAATATATTTAAAAACAAGAGAAAGCTTGCATTTATATAGCTCCTTTGCAAAATACCATCCTGTATGACTGTGAAAAAGGTTAGCTTTTCTTCCCTATCCATCTTGATCTGTTAGGTACAGTGAGCACTCAATGAATACAGTGAATACTCTTCCAGTATGCTGCCATTCTTGTCCAGCTACGTGGATCTGCTCTCTCCTGAATTCATTCTCATCTGTGTCATCACAGCCAGGCAATCACTTGCAATTCTCTTCCTACTTCCAAACCATTACCTCTGGTGTCTCCAAAGCGTCTTCTCTTGACAACCCCTTACCAATTCCTTATTAATGTGTTACCCTCAGAAATATCAGTTGAAAGTTCAGCATTAGTTTTTACACATACAATCTACACTCTACGTCACCACCAATTCTCCTCACTCCTCCACAACTGATTAATTATCAGGCGACTTATCCAATATCCTGTAAAAGATGTGGAAAACATTTCCTCCAATTTAGATATGAAACAAAACTGCTGAAGCTGAGGAAGAATTTCTTCAGCCAGAAAAAACACATTGCCACAGAAGGCTGTGAAGGTCGTGCCATTGAGTGTATTTAAGACAGAGGTAGGTTCTTGATTATAAGGGGATCAATGGATATCAGGACAGGACAGGTCAGGAGAATGGAGTTGAGAAACATATCAGTCATGATTAAATGGTGGAGCATATTTAATTGGCCAAATGGCCTAATTCTGCTCCTATATCTTATGGCCTTAAGGTCTCTCTGTTTATGATTCCCACTCTGTTCCCTGGCAACCAACTCCATCTCTCTCTCCCTGGAAATTTAGTCACATTTGTCACATCAGTGGTGTAACATTTGACTAGGGGGTGAAAGTCTAATCTTATATTTATCCTGACACTGAGTCCATCTTTTTTTCACCACACGTCTATAACATAATGTGGCTTTGTCCCATCTCAGTTCATCAGCTATTGAAACCCTCAGCCGTGTCTTCATTACATCCAGCCATGACTGTTAATGCACTCCATGCTGGCTTGCCACGTTCTACCCTCTTAAGGTCATCCAGACCTCTCACAGTGAGTTTAGATATAAGCAGTAGAGTCATACAGCATGGAAACAGACCCTTTGGTTCAATCAGTCCCAAACTAAACTAGTCCCACCTGTCTACAATGACCACCGTGTACACTGTCTGTTTCGCAATTAAGCAAGTATTTTCATTTCAAAATTCTCATCCTTGGTTTTCAAGCCTCTTCATGACTTTGATACTTCCCTATTTCTGTAAAAACATGGAGCTAAACAGCCTTTTAAAATATCTATGCTCCTCTAATCCTAGCCTCTTGTGCACTCTCAATTATATCCCTTCACTATTAATAGCTGTGTCTTCAGTCACCTCAGCAATAAACTCAGGAACTCCACCCCCCCACCACCCCATCTAAACCATTCCACCTCTCTATCTCTCACTCCTTAAAATAAACCACTTTGTGCAACCTTCTAGTCATCTGAATGAATATCTCCTTGTATAGCTTGGTGCCATCCCTTGTTTTGTCATGCCACTGTGAAACTCTTTGAGATGTTTCTCTAAGTTAAGGCAGCTATATAAATAGAATTTGTTGTTGGTTCACAAACTTAAGACATCTCAAAGTACTTTCATTAGCAACTAATGAAGCACCACCACTGCTGTAATAGCAGCACAGTGGTTCAGTGGTTAGCACTGTTGCCTTACAATGCCGGGGAACTGGGTTTGTTTTAGCCACGGTGTCTGTGTGAAGTTTGCATATTCTCCCCGCGTCTGCGTGGGTTTCCTCTGGGTGCTCCAGTTTCTTCCCACAGTCCAAAGATGGGCAGGTTCGGCGGATTGGCCGTGCTAAATTGCTCATCGTGTCCAGGGATGTGCAAGGATAGGAATGGGTCCGGGTCGGATGTTCTTCAAAGGGTAGGAGTCAACTGAATGGCTTGCTTCCACGCTGTCGGGATTCTATGTACAGAATATGACAGGCACAGTAAACTGTCACAAGCAACAATGTTATCTTGACCATATAATCTTTTTTCATTGTGATGTTGGTTGAGGGACAAATGTTCTCTGGAACAGCAGGTAAAATAACCTGGTAGTTGTTTGCTTTATTCTTTCATGGATGTGGTTATCACTGCCAAATTCGGCATTTGTTGCCAATTCCTAACCACCCTGAACTTGAGTGGCTTGCTGGGGGAGTTCAGAAGGCAGTTAACAATCAACCACATTGCTGTGGGATCTGAAGTCCCAGCAGATTGAAAGCAAAATACTGCAGATGCTGGAAATGTGAAATAAAAACAGAAATTGCTGGAGAAACTGAGCAGATCCGGTAGCATCTGTAGAGAGAAAAGCAGAGTTAATGTATTGAGTCTGGTATGACGTCCTTGAAATCGGTGGTCAATTTCCTTCCCGAAAAGACATTGATGTATGAGGTGGGATTTTATACCATTTGATGGTTGTTGCAAAGTTAGCAAGGTACCAATACTAGATTCATGTTCTAGGACACAGTCCTATTGTTGTAAATAAAACCGGGTGGTGATGTCCTATACTTAACACTAGATTATCAATCTTTACGCTATTAATTAGACTCAGGCTAATGTTGTGGGGAACTAGCAAAAACAGAAATTGCTGGAGAAACTTGGCTAGTCTGGCAACATCTTTTGAGAGGAAACAGAGTTAATGTTGAGTCCAGTGACCCTACTTCTGAGTGAATGCTCTGGAGACCTGAGTTCAAATCCTGCCATGGCAGATGGTGGAATTTGAATTCAATGAGAAAAGTCTGGAACTAAATGTCAAATGGTGACAATGAAACCATTGTTGATTGTTGTAAAAGCACATCTGATTTAATAATGTCATTTAGGGAAAGAAACGGCTGTCCTTATTGGTCTGGATTACAGGTGGCTACAGACCCACAGCAATGGAGTTGGCTGGGCAACTAGGGATGGGCAATAAATGCTGGCCGAGCCAACAACATTCACATTCTGTCAATGAATTAAGAAAAAATAACGGCATTAGAAGTATATATGGAAAGTATGCAGAATTCTCAAGTCTCTGTGTTCAAACCTTATGGCACAGTTATTGGATAAATTGCAAAGATATCTTACACATTCATTTTTGCCAACACACTGGCATATTTTGCTGGTAGTGGTGGTGTTAGTGGATAGGGGAGGTGGAACGGTGGTGCTGGCCGTTAGATTCCCCGGGGTGAGTGATTTTTTTCATCAGCCTCCTGCCTGCTCTGTCCTCACCACAACTGTACAGTGGGAGGGGTGAGGCCTAGGCCGGCAAACCTTTGTGCTAAGGAGGCCCATCAGCGGGTAGTCAATGGCCTCGTCCTATCCAGAGGCTGGATTTGGAGGTAAGCCCAGGAAATCAAGCTGTTAAGGCCTTGGGAAAGAGGAGAAAAGGCTACCCTTTGCAATGGCCTCCTTTGTCGATATAGGGTAAGCTTCAGCCAGCCACGAATAAAGTCTGCCCTCTAGGGGTTGTTCCGAACCAGCACCACACCGCTGTCCCCTTTTTTGACCTCACCTTCAAGGACCCCAACCCTTTCCCTCCACCCACCATGGTCCTCATCTCTCTGTCTCTCCCTTGCATTCACCTGTTGCTGCAGTTTGGTGTTTGGAGTCCCTCAAACCTGGCCATTGCACTAGTGATGCTGATGGATTTACTGAGCCTCAGGCCAGTCTGGATTTCTGGTAGGTCTCTGAGGTACAGTTGCCGCCCAAGTGAGCATTGGTCAGCAAAGATACATTCTCCACTAAGTGGCTGATGAAGGGGCAGCCCCTTTCATCCAACAAATCCTACCCCAAGTCTATGAAGAGTGCTACATGTCAAAATTAGGTATTGCTAAAAAAAAGAGACCTTTTTTTTGAGAGATAGTAGGAACTGCAGATGCTGGAAAATCTGAGATAACAAGGTGTAGAGCTGGATGAACACAGCAGGCCAA